GGAAGGCATGAAGAGCAGAGACTGCACACAGGCGGTGCGGGAGGGAAGGAGGGTGACCAGGCCAAGGGGCTCCCTTAGAGACCAGGGAGCAGGTCTTGACTCCACATTGAGACACTGAATCCCATTTCAAACAGCAAAATAAAGAAACAACTTTAGGAATTGCAAAGTAACTCAGACTTTGTAAAAACAGATGGTGATAAAACCCAGTTGTCCTAATATTTGGATAATTTAAATGGCCTCAACGGCTAGGGATTTAAGAGAAATAGTTCAACATAGACTGGATCACTTAGTGTTTGGTTTGAAAAGTCCTGGGCAGTAAGGAGGCCCCAGAATATGATGAAAATAGGATAAGAAAGGTTTGTAAGGAAAGAAACATGATCCTGGTGAGTGCCACCTGGAATTGGAGAACATGAAATAGTAGAAAGAGGTGTCAGAAAGCCTGAAGTCAAGACCTAGCTTAGCTACCTATGAGCTGTCTGACCTGTCCAGCCGCTTAACCTCTCTGACCTCATCTCAATAGCGAAGTTACAATAATAATAACAATGCTTTCCCTAAGCACTTCAGGGGGCTCTTTAGCAATCACAGGGAAGGACAGACAGGACTGTGGTGAAGGGCAGTGCAGTCTCAACCCTGCCACTCACTGGCTGTGTGACTTAGGAGAGTTTTAGAACTGGTAGGCTTTTACTTCCTCATCTGTACTATAGGGATGCTAACACCTGCCTCAGTTGGTAGTTGTAGGGACTAAATGTAACAGTCCAAGCAGATCATGATAAAGTGCCTTTTACATAGTGCTCAGTAATCCATGACTTTTTTAAAATATATTTTATTGATTTTTTTACAGAGAGGAAGAGAGAGGGACAGAGAGCCAGAAACATCGATGAGAGAGAGACATCGACCAGCTGCCTCCTGCACACCCCCTACCGGGGATGTACCCACAACCAAGGTACATGCCCTTGACCGGAATCGAACTCAGGACCCTTCAGTCCACAGATCAACGCTCCATCCACTGAGCCAAACCGGTTTCGGCAGTAATCAGTGACTTTTATATTTAACTTGATTATATTTACAAGTTTGCAAAGTGTTCCATGCATACAAATGAAGCATTGTAATAAATTAGCATGATATGATATTACTGGATAACAGAATAAAAATGTTTTTAATGTAAGCAGTAAAAATAGAATGAAGGTGGTAAGCACATAGGCCATCTTTATAATGAAGGGACTTTGTAAATAAGGACATAGGAGGACTCAAGGACCCCAAATTAATTCATGTTGGCTTAGCTAGGAGACGGTCCTATAGTATAGATATTTTTTTAAGTATGAAAAACACTAGCAATGATCCTTGCTTCAGGTTGAGAGTCAGTGATAACTCAGGACTTATCCAGAGCAATTGGTATGTTAATGTAGCAGTTTTTAACTGCGATGCCACAACACAGTGTTGTGCAGCAAGAAGTTTTAAAACATGCAATTCCTGACCAGTCAGGAACACTAACCCCTTTTCCCTTAGATTATCAAATAAAAAAAGATGACAACAGCCAACACAAGAATAGCCATCCAGTGTGCATGAATCAAATTTATATCTATACTAGAGGCCCAGTGCATGAAATTAATGTATGGGGGGGTGGGGGTGGGGGGGTGACCCTCAGCCCAGACTGCATCCTCTCCAATTTGGGATCCATGGGATCGGGCCCAAACAGGCAGTCGGACATCCCTTTCACAAGCCAGGACTGCTGGCTCCCAACTGCTTACCTACCTGCCTTCCTGATTGCCCCTAACTGCTTCTGCCTGTCAACCTGATCATTCCCAACCACTCCCCTCCTAGCTTGATTAATGCCTAACTACTCCCCTGCCAGCCTATTGCCCCTAACTACCCTCCCCTGCCAGCCTGGTCCCCCCCAACTGCCCTCCTCTGCTGGCCTGGTCACACCTAACTGCCCTCCCCTGCAGGCTTGATCACCCCCAACTGCCCTCTCTTGCAGGTCTGTTTCCTGAAACTGCTCTCTCCTCCTGACCTGATTGCCCACAACTGTCCTCCCTCGCAGGACTGGTCCCTCCCAACTGCCCTCCCCTGCTGGCCATCTTGTGGTGACCATCTTGTGTCCACATGTGGGCAGCCATCTTTGACCAAATGGGGCAGCCATCTTGTGTACTGGAATGATAGTCAATTTGCACATGCCCTTTTATTAGATAGGACTTTTTGTCAGATTGGCAAAAAATATAATTTTAGGTGTGCAGCAAAATTTTATCAGTTTGTGTGTGCATGAGATGAAAAAGGCTAGAAATTACTGTGTTAATTAAATCTGTAAAGACACTCAGGGAGCCTCCCTGGAGAAACTCAACCCAAGACCAGAAATAATGCAAAAAAAATAAAAACAAAACTAAAAAATCCATTCACTTGTTCAGAAAACATTTTGTCCGTACTCTGTACCATGCATCTTGTTAGGCACCAAGAGTTTAAGGACAAAAGACATGGTCCCTTCAGCAAATTCACAGTCCAGTAAATCACTACCATTCGGTGAGGTGGTTCTAAGTTTGGGTACAAGAGAACCCAGAGGTGGGGCTCCTTACTCCGGGGTTGGAGAAGGATCCCCAGAAGGAGCAACATCTGAGCAAGCCCTACAACTACCCAAGCAGTTAATCCAACAAAGAGCTCCTTTGCAACAACCCAGAAGCTGAATTGCAAGTCCTTTAATAATTTGGCCATGCTGAGGCAAGGTTGTGGGCCTTTGGAAAGCAGGACGCTTCCTTAGTAATGTCAACATTAGAATCATTGTTCTTTTAGGAACTCTTATTTGAAAAAAAGCAAATGATGTCCTCATCCTCAAAAAAAATCATATTGGGAATTTTATTACAGTTTTAAATCAACTTGTTTCTTATTAATCCCAACCATTTCTACTGACATTCACATTTCAGAAACATATACTATACTTTTAAATGAATTCGTGTATTTTAATCCCAACAGTATCTGACATTTTCATTTAAGAAATACTATCTCATATATGAGCAAGACATACTAGTTTTTCATTGTAAAGCAATCTTTGTTCATGCATATATTGATGAAATTCCTACAATAACTGTCAACTCATCCCCCCTCTCCCTCCCAACGCACCCAGAGGTCTGTGATCCAGTGAGTTAGCATTGCAGTGAGGAACCGGCATGCTCTGAGACTGGAGAGGTAGCTGGAGCTAGGCTTGTTTTGTTTCGTTTGCAACAGAAATACCTCTCCTCACCCTGCCTCCCACACCAGTGACTAGACTGTCTTCACCAGAGAGAACCACTCAAATTTGGAGCAAAAACTCCTTGCATATTTGATGAGGTCAACGCCTATCTTCAGACCTCGATGTTCCCACCCACACACCTTCTAGAGGCAGGCCTGGCTCTGTACAAGAATCTCCCCCGCTCATTCACTCCTTAGCCATCCCAACCACAGAGGGGGGCTGCGCCCCCTGGCCTGACAGAGCTGGACTGGGCCCAAACTTACTCTTGCGGGGCGGCCTGGAGCTGCCTCTCTGCTTCACTCTCCACGGGGAGCAATTCACAACACACTTTATCTCGGGAATTCACTGCTCCATTGGGCAAGGGTCTGATTATTTCTCTCTAAACCTGTCTGTCATTCACAGCACAGAAGGAACACTAGACACAGACCTTTGTATCAAATTTCTAACACTTTATTCTTTTTACTGCTCAGATGATATCACTGCAATGTCATCACAGTGAAGGTTGGACAAGGCCCAGAAACAGTCATCACTAAGCAATGTTGGTTTTCTGGGGGTAACTCACAGCCTTATTTGCAGCTCATGCCCTGGTTCTGGCCTTTCCTACTGACCCACAAAGCTGAGCTTCATCCTGGGTATGGGACTGTACACGTTGCTCCTCAGTCAGGCACGGCTGGGAAGTTGTCTGGATCCTGCACCGCAAGCCAAGAATGGGTGATCTGTTCCCCTTTCCCTCTGTAAGTGCGCTATGCATGTGGCCCCTCAGCGGGAAGATGGCTGCTGCACAGGAAGAATAAAGGCAGGCAAGATTGGTGAATCTAATCGCAAATGCCTCCTTTTGTCACCTTATGCTTCATTGTACTGCTAAAAATGAAAACATCTGCTACATGTTAGATATGAAAACTCATTGTTAAATTAGAAAAATGGGAATTGTTAGCTATGCCTCTGCCCTTCTTCAGAACCCTATACAAGTAATATGATGTCAGTGCCCTAAGCTATCAAACTAATGAGAAATTCTAGTTAAATAGAAGATTTCTGAAATCATTTTAAGCCTGTACATCAGTCCACAGGTATAATTAAAGCACTATTATGATTTTTTAAATTATAAGCATGAGCCTTGGCCAGTGTGGCTCAGTTGGTTGAGCATCATCTTATGCATTGAAAGGTTGCCGGTTCAATTCCTAGTCAGGGCACATATTTCAGGTTCGGTCCCCGATAGATGTTTCTCTCTCACATTGGTCTCTCTCTCACATTGGTCTCTCTCTCTCTCTCTCTCTCTCTCTCTCTCTCCTCTATTTATTGAGAGAGAGAGAGAGAGAGAGAGAGAGAGAGAGAGAGAGAGACTTTTCAACTTGAGTATCTCAGAGACTTGTCACTTGTCTAAATCAGCAGTCACCAACCGGTGACCCACGAACCACTGGTGGACCATGAGGTCTGAAAGGTTGGTGACCACTGGCCTATATGATGTGTCTGTGGAACTATACTAGGCATCCTGTATTCGAATCCTGGCTCCCAGACCCACAAGTTGTATGATTTGGGGCATGTCACTTAACCACGGCAGGTAGAAAGGGAATAATGGCAGTTCCTTTCTCAGAGTGTCGCTGATGTTTGAATGTGTTAATGAAATAAAGCCCCGAGGTGAAAGCCTGGGCACAGCAAGTGTCAGTAAGGGATGGCTGTGCATGTATCAGACAGGCAGGCAGCCTTTTGGGGCTGCCCATGCTTTGTGGCGACGGCCTCCTTATAATGGCATTATTGAGATCCGTGCTGTTTCTCTTCTCCACAGGTCAGTGCAGCTGAACGGGCAGCCCTTAGTGATGGTGGACGATGGGACCCTCCCAGAGTTGAAGCCCCGCCCCCTACGGGCCGGCCGGACATTGGTCATCCCTCCAGTAACCATGGGCTTTTACGTGGTAAAGAATGTCAACGCTTTGGCCTGCCGCTACCGATAAGCCACCCTCACATTCATGAAATGCCAGCGGGCCTGCTGGACTGCTTTCCACCTTTGCGCCCCAATAGTATCCTTACTTTTCAGACATCTTCTTAGCAACAAGCCAGTCTCTGCTGCCCCATCCTGCTGGAATTGACATAGACTTGCTCTCTCAAGGTAGCACAAGCTTAGCCTAGGTAGGTCACGTCCACCCCAAAGGAAAATGTGGACATCACCTGTACCTTTATGAGGTTGAAGTTATGTGTGTAGAGCTGTATGTATCCCTGTATGTGTACCATGAAACCAAGCTGAAGCACACTCCCAGGACAAATGAAACAACTGCCCAGGATCCTGGTCATACAGCAGTGTTATTATAGACCGTAGCTGTGGCTGCTGCCCTCGGGAGAAGATGAGCAAGGAAAAAAGCTTGGTGGATCTTGAGAGCCCTGTCCTCCCCCAAAGTCTCGGCACAAAGAGAAAGCACGCCATACCAGCAGCACACGCTTTTCTCTGTCAGCTCCCTGCTGCTGCACTGGGTTTCCTATGAGCTCTCTTCCCAGAGGGGAGCCAGTGGGTGAGTCAGCCCTGGCTGATGGGTGAGCTCTTTGTGTCATTTCCTGGCTGATGTATGAGCATGTGCATCTGGGTTTCTGACAGTGGCATCCATCACTGGCTATTCCTCTGGGAAGCCAGTGCTTCAAAAGTAAAATTGCGATCATACTCCAGATTTTATAAGAAGGCTCTATTCCTCTGTGAATCCAGATTCCCCCAGGGTTGGAATGGGAGTCGGGTAACAATATTCATTGAGTGGAGAGCAATGTATTAGGTACCACAAAAAGCAATCATCATCCGTCATGTGGCTGTGAGGGAGAGTTTCAGTACAAAGAGAAAGTACACCACACCACCACCACATATGTACACACACACACCACACCACCACACATGTCCACACACACACCACACCACACCACATGTCCAAATACACACACACACACACCACACCACCACATATTTCCACACACACACAAACACTACACCACCACACATATCCACACACAACACACTACCACCACACACAACACACCACTACCACACATGTCCACACACACACCACACTACCACCAAACATCCACACATACATAAACACCACACCACCACACATGTCCACACACATACCACACTACCACCACACATCCACATACACACATAAACACCACACAACCACCACACATGTATACACACCACCAACGCACACATACACACATACACAAATGCCACACCACCACCACATGTCCACACATACATATACACACACACACACACACAAATACACACACAGCTCACCACTACCACACGTCCACACACACACACACCAAACCACTACCACCACACATGTACACCCTCACACACACAACAAGAACAACAAATAAACAAAGCAAATGATTAGACTTTCCTCAAATTCTAAAGAATATTTACTAAGGATATGCCCTTAATGGTTTCGTTGACCAAACCATTAAAAATAAAAAGGTGTAAACCAAAGGTTCTCGCCATAAGATACTAATGAATCTAATCTTCCTGCCTCTTCACTAGTAGCTGTGAGCCTCTCAGTGTATTTACCAGGCAGAAATCCAATCTGGTCACCAGGTTCCTCTTGTCCCAGACCAGCTATCTGAGCCGTGAACACAGCTTTCGGTTAGCCATTCGGGGCAGGCGGGATCCAGAGTAGGACTAATGGGGAACCTACTGGATGGTCAGTGGGAAACTTCCAAATGGACAGGAGCAAGTGGAGTGAGTTGAAGTTCACCATGGGGCTCTTCTGTCTGGGCTGTGGTGTCTTTGCAAACAATCCGTGGGTAAAATTGCTTCCTTTTTGTAGATGTGATTTTCTATCTCAGGATAAATGATATGAATGATGCTCTTTTAAAAAGGAGGAGATATTTGTCAATGTCACAGGGTTCCAACTAGGGGAGTGAACTGTGAAAAGCTAGGAATGGAGGGGAGAAGCAGGGTCGCTGAGGCCAGAGGCCAGGGAAACTGCCCAAAATGCCAAGGAGTTAAGAAAGGACGAGGGCCAAGTCTGCAGCATGAGCGGTAGGTGAGAGACAGGAGGAGGATGACCCTAGAAAAGGGGTGGAGGGTCCTCAGCTTGAAGAACTGGGAGTTGGGAGAGGGAAGCTGATAGGCTCATTTTCTGTGTAAGGAAGAGTGGGTATGGTTTTGACAGGCTTATTATTAGGTACAGAAGGAACAGCACACAGGAAGTGCAACAAGAGGGGAGAAAGGAATGAGCTGGGCCCAGTCAGCGGGGAGCTCAGCCTAGAAGAAGCTGGGGAGAGGAAGGCTAGACCCTGACATGCAGCCATGAGGTAACTCAGAGGGTCCCTCTTCTCTGGAAACAGGTACCTCCCCCCGAAGCTTCAGCTCTGAGAGCGTGGAGAGAGAAAAGAGGGGAAAGAAGTGACAGACAGCCCCACGTGAGGAAGAGAGGGAAAAAGAGAAATGAGAAACCAAACTGTTGTTCCCCCAAACTTAGAATTTTGTGCAGATCTCAGGTTCCCTTCTATACACCGGGGTGCAAGCAGGGCCCCTGATAACAACCAGAGCCGCCTGAGGTCCCTGCAGGCAGGCCCGGGGCTAGTTTGCTTTCAGACACAGTAGCCCCTGTTTTTCCTGTAAGTCATGCAGAGAGTCCAGAGCTTTCCCAGGTCACCCAGAGCAATGGTTTGCTGAGCTCAGAATAATCAAGGGTTTGTTCGTTTATCCACAAGCTCAGTGGCTGCCCAGTTCACAGACTCACCCCTTCACCTCTTCTCGGTTCTGTTAATTCAGCCCAGCTAGGACCCCCAAAGCTCCACTGAGTGCACTTCTGTAAGTGCTGATTCTTCACTCAGCCTCTGCATGTGGGGAATACAGGCAGTTCCTGCTTCTTCTGTCTTTCTCCGTGTATTTAATGCGGCTCCTAAGAGGTTTTGCTTTTTCTAGCTAATTAAAGAGAGAGGATCACTGAGATTTATTTCTGGAGTCCTGCAAATCTCACTTTGCAACTGAATCACGGAAGAAGTATTTGCATTGTTCAAAGAAAACCAAGAAACTTAATATAAAATCACATTCCATAGAGATTTTAAAACTCAGCATCTATCCTGGATTTTTCATTTCAGTGTGGGGGTGATGACTAAATCAGGGGGATGCCTCCTTCTAATAAATTCCCCTGTCACACTTCCCACTAAAGACAGCCTGTGGCAGAACTCAGCACCCCTTCCACGTCACTGAGCAAGAGCTCACTCACCAGCCTCCCCGATCAGATATTTTCTCCTAAAACAAGACATGGCTGAGATAACCTGAGACATAAGAACCATTTATTTTAAATCAAAGAATGGGCTCCTAAAGTGCTTACTTGAAAGCCAGATAACAGGTAATGAAAAGTCTGTCTTGTAGAGATGATTTTATGCTCTTTCTGCCTCTAGGAATGATTTTCTTTCTCCTTTCTTATCGCAAAGGCTCAGAACAAATTCTCATTGTTATTTGGAGAGAGTGTCCCAGTTCCTCTAGAGCCCTGAAAATGCTGCAGCTGCAGGCTGTTGGCATGATCTCCACATGGAGAAAAGCTTGAAAATACCAGACTGGGCAACAGTGAGGCATAGGCCTGGGGCTCCCAGAACCTTAATTTTGAGTCCCACTTTCCCTTTGCAGCCCCAGCCTCTCCCCAGGCAGGTGGGCCAAGCCCTGCAGCTCTGGCAGGTCAGAGGTTGGTGGTAGAATCTGCCTGAGAGCTTCCCCCCACATTTATCCCCACCCCTGGCTCTGCAGCCTCCTGGGTGAGGCAGTGCGAGGACCCCTGCACTCCAAGCCCAAGTGTTTGGGATGGATACAGCTGTACAATTCACCTTGGGAATCCACTCAGAGCTTTATTTCTGAAAACAAAAGGTCAGTGTTTAATCTCTGCAGAAGCAAAGGCCAACCATGTGGATAAAAATGTTATAACAGGGAAGGACTTTAAACATTGGAAATATCAATAGAGCAACCAAAAATGATAAAGATATGGCTTGGGAAAGGCAAGGGAAGAAAGTGCATAAACATGTGTAAAGCATGGCTTCCTCTACTTCCCCTTCTTTCCCACCTCACCCCCAGCTGGACACTGCCAATTGCTCACTTCTGCTAACTTACTCTCCAGTCCCATAGCCTCATCTCTGCCAGCCACCCTGTCCTCACCTCGGAGCCCAGGGAACTCTGCTGTACCGAGAGGGAATTCCGTTTTAGTTGTAGAAATGTTTGCAATCTTTTCACAAGATGAACTAGAATTAAAAATAAGATAGTACGGGTTCTCAAAGAGAAGCAGTCATTATCAGGCCCAAACAAACTAGAACATTCCAGTCACTCCCTCTCAGTTCCACTAACCGGAACACAAAGGCTCCTGAACTGCCTTTCTATCCCAGTCCTGGGCAGTGAGTGTTTGGGGAGGACCAGAGAAGTAATCCATCCAAGGCCATCTAGATAAGCAGAGGGCAGGACTGGGACTTGAACCCAGATCTGTTGGATTCCAAAGTCTACTCTCATTGCATTGTACTTTCTTTCTCTCTTACTGGACTGGTTATGGCCAACCTTTTCTCATCTCCATTATGCCCACAGCTAGCTTTCTTAGCATTCTGTGTGTGTCTGCAGACGACTCTAGCAGTGCCTTCACCCAGGACAGTTTATCTCAGGTTTGGGGTAGCCAGCTAACAACTCTGATGAGTAGTGAGTCGGGCTGTGACCAGCCTTGGCTATAGAATTTTGAACCCAGGCTCATCTTGACCCACCAGGCCCTCCTGGTCTGCTCCCCTCCATCTGTGTTTTTCTGCAGAATAACTTAAAGGCCACTCTCACCATCCCTGCCCACCGCAAGTGAGGAGTCTTGATATTCTAAGTCTTGAAGGTGAGTGGCGGAGGCAGTTAGCACCCGCGCATGCTGCCTCTAGTAGCCCTGCTCCTCCTCTGTCCACCACCCAGAGGTTTGGATGTTTCTCTTCACCTTCCCAAACTAAA